CAAGAAACAAATATAACATACATACATTCACACATTTGTATTCTTGTCTTCACTATGTATGCATGTTATTTTGCAACAGACAAATATAACATACATACATACATTCATACTTGTATTCTTGTCTTCACTATATATGCATGTAATGTTTTTTATTTTTTACTTTTTGGGTGAGTCATTGGAGGATCCCTATCTTTAGTAGGAATTGAGCTTAAGACGCAGCGTTACAAATCGCCAAGCGCTAATCAATTAAGCCCGGGCTCTTTTCTTATGTATGCATGTAATTTTACAAGAGACAAATTACATCAAAAAAACAGTAACCATAATGTTATGATCAAAGCTCCCTCAACCCTTTTTCTACATCGGATAGTCCAGGGCATATTAACAATATCATTGATATGGTTAATGCTATCACAGTGTACAATCAATCCCTTAGAGAGAAAAGAAAATATTGGTATGGATGTTGATTATACACGCACCTACATCCATGAGAGAGAGAGTAAAATAGTTAGGGTTTAGTGGTGGGAGCCCACACACTTGGCCACTTTCTTATGATTATGTTTTCCCTATGTTGATGTCATCATGGGGCATGATGTATGAGGGACACGGTTTTTATAAGTCCTAGGACTATATATAGATACGCGTCTTCTCTTTATGACATATTTTTTAATGGATTTGGACTTAATTTTTTTAAAATGAACTTTCTATAAGACTTATGCTTTAACAGACTAAAGTAAAGCCTCACCTCGAATTTATGTCTGGAAAGCCCTTTGGACATCGAAAATATCCATGATGGCTCTAAAATCAATCTCTAAGACCGCCTATGAAATTTCAAGATCAAACAATGGTACCAATCTTGCAAATCTGCACATACTTATTTTTAAGGCGAAATGAACAATCTAGATCATTGTTACATCATACACTATATTCAAAGCTTGAAATTCTAATTTTTCACAATTATAATATTCAAGGCCGAGATGATCGAGTGAGGTGTTATTTATTTTGATAGGATTGCAGCCTTATCAAACTATATTCATATTTTTTTATCTATTTAGTACCACTAACATGGAGAATATTAATATGTACATGCTAAATTAAAAAAATAAAAATAATAATTTAAAAAAATTTACCATCGATTTTATCTTTTGACCACCACTCAACAGCCATCTTAAAGATTGAGGAGACATCTCTATTGGACACAAATGTAGATATGCATCCCCATGCTTCCGGCAGGAATACGACGGCCACATTAGTCCTCAGCCAAGAGAATGACACGTGTCGCGTCCCAAACTTGGCTAGTGCTGTTGTAGGAAGACTTACGCAACATTATTCCTTGTTCACACAAAGCAATAAAAGTTAAACCTTGTTTATTATCCTATTAAATAGAATTAGGTCTCGTTGATCATCGGACAAATTAAATAATTAAGAATAGGGGATCATTAGGTAAAGGAAAAGTTTATATAGAGCCGAGGCTCTAAACAATCAAATTTAAGCATACATCAAAATTTTCACTAGAAGAGGTTGTTTTGATGCCCAAATATCCTCAAACCGATCATCTCGGCATCAAGATGCATAGACATGAGAAAAAAATGGATTTCAAGTTTTAGAAATGGTGTATTTTGTAACGCATTTTTTAACCATCAATATTCAAGATTTTCAAGTTTTCATAGATATAACGATCTTCACTATTTTTTAAGCTTTAAACTTTATAAATAAAAATGAAAATATATTTTAAGGCTATTACAAATATTTTCAGTATTGAAACCATATTTCTCGATACTATTTGAAGGTAAGCTCTAATTTGATCGTTTTGAGCCTAGGCTCTATACAAACGGCACCCTTAGATAAATTAAACAATTAAGAATAGGGGTAGGAATGGCATTTTGGGGTTGCTCCACCAGTCGTGTGGCGATGCGCACTCAGTGCGCTTTATCCCGGACCCATCCCTCACGCGTGCGTTATAAGCCGCAACTTTTTCTTTTTTTTCTTCTTTTTTTGTTTTAAGAAATTAAAGCAGGTCTTTTAAAAAAGGGTTGGTATAGCGTCCACAAGATGTGGACGTACAACCATTCTTTAACTGTTCATGTTGTACCGTGCCACATTTAATGGTTAAAAATAAAAAACATAAATAAATTAACAGCAATTTTTAAATTAACAGCTATTTTGAATGTCATAAATTGAGTAAAATACATCTAAAACTTTAAGGAATATTTTGGTCAATTATTTTAATAAAAATAAAAATTTGCTTGTTTTTATTTGCTGTCTTACAAAAAAGAATCTACGACCTAAACCTATGGTTAAACTAAATTTTAAATTAAAAATAAAAATCTAATATGAAATTAAATTTGAATCGTTAGATGTAGTGTGGTTCAATCTGAGCCGTAGAAAGGGTGCATTCCATAGTCCACATCATGAGGACGGGAGACTTTCAATCAAAAATTCTTATGTTATATCATCTCACATAAATTCCGAAAATACCTTTTAACGCCAAGGTCATCTCCAACAGGCGGATGTGGTGCACGAGTGGTAAAATACCACTACTCCAGGAATCAACCGTGGATCGCAGTTGAATCTCAAATGCGGATGCCCCATGGTGTACCCTTAAGAGATTATGGTATCTTCCCTTCCCTTTATCTAATTTACTTGAATGTAAATGTAATACGGCTGAGAATTTATCAAGTTTTGATCCAAAACCGGATTTTCTGGATCTGAGATTGGGATCTGACGGTTAAGTCCAAAATGTGGATCCAACTACTAAATTCGGATCATATCCGGGTATAGTGGATCCAATCCGAATCTGACCCAATTATTAAAATATAGGTGCAGTTTGTATAGAGCATAGGTTCTAAACAATCAAATTAGAGCGTACCTTCAAATAGTATTGAGGAATGTGGTTTTAATATTGGAAATCTTTGTGACAGCCTTAAAATATATATTTATATTTTTTTGATAAAGTTTAAGCTTAAGAAATAGTGTAGATGACAGATCAATAAAAACTTTAAAATCTTTAAAATTGACGGTTCAAAAATGTGTTACAAAATACACTATTTCCAAAACTTAAAATCTATTTATTTGCTCATGTCCATTCATCTTGATGTCGGGATGGTCGATTTGAAGATACTTGGCCATCAAAATAACCTCTTCTAGTGAAATTTTTGGGGTAGGCTCAAATTTGATTGTTTAGAGCCTCGGCTCTATGTAAACTTTTCTCTTAAAATATTATACATTATTATATATACATTTGGAAAAACTTTATACACAGTCGAGGCTCCTAGTCGTGGGAGGCAAGGCACACAGGGGGATA